CTTCTAGCTGCATTCTCAATGTGGTACAGAAGGCAGCTCTCCAGGGTTTCTTAAAAGGGCACCATAGCCGTACCCACTAAAGATCCCACCTCCTAGTACCATCACTTAGGAGGGTGTGGATTTAATGGGACACATTGTGGAGTTAGGTCTTCCCCAACTGTAAAATGCCATGCCACATTTCCATTTTTTTTTTAATGTGGGATTATGGAATTTCAAAATAGGTGAACTCTGGATTGGAAAAATTATCATACTGCATGGCCTTAAATAGTTAAGATTGAAGCAAAGACATTAGCAAGATAGGAAATGGTCCATATAGTTCTGATAATTTATTATAGGGCTGGCAACTTTTTTTTTATAAAAAGAGAAAAAGACATACTATCAGCCCCTTTGGATCTCCCTGTCTATAGTAATATCCCTAGGTCACAAAATTCAGTCTATTTCTCAAAAGTTCTGTGTACTATGGCACCCTAATATTTGATTTCTACATTGGTCTTAGGGAACATTTCATGACTAAAGATCGAAAAGAAGTACTTTAAATCAGCAAACAGTCAAGCTGGTTGTCCTTTTCCTGTACTGGAATGCATGCTGATCTGTTCACAGGACAGACTCCCTGCTGGCAGTGAGCAGGCTAAAGACCTGGGTCTCCATTGCCAGTGCTTCCTACTAAAAGGAACCTGTGGCTCCTTGGAGAATAACTGATTCTGGTGCTGGGAAAACACATGTCCCAAGATCTTAACCTGAAAGTAAGGATTATTCAAGAAAATAAGAGGCAGTCACAAACTGTGCATGGGGTTTAGGAGTTTGAGTCCATAGCTTTGGACAACAATGGCAGAGGCTCCTTACAATAAAACAATGGAAAACATGGAGGGAGGGTAGATTTAGAAAAATCACCTCTTGGAACCTTCATAAGATCGACTTGGTTTGGCAGCAAGAATCATCAGAGGTGATGTGCTAGGAGGATAATTTGCATAACTCCACATAGGTCGCTAGTAGTGAGCACACAATCCAGAAGTGGGAAAACACTGAAGTCAACACCACCAAGAGACAGATGTGTGCCTCCAGATACCGAATGGAGGAGGACACAGGCCTGTCATCTAGCCACGGGCAAACTATGTCAATGGCAAAACATACCACAGTTTATGTGAAAGTCAAAACCAAGACCATGAACAAAGGAGGCCAAGTCACTGTGCTAAAAGGACACCAGAGCTATGGCAACCAAATGCAATTACCTTGTAACATAAAGGGGATCAAAAATACAGCAAAACAAGAATATGGATGGTAAAGTATATCAATGCTACATTTCTCGAGATTGGTGATTTTACTATGCATAACACCTTGACCAACAACCAAAATAACTCAAAAGATTACAAATATATACACAAAAGAGAAAACAAATATGGCAAGATGATAAAATGGAGTACTGGTTACACAGGAACTTTCTGTATTACTTATTATTCCAAAATAAAATGACTGCTGAATTGCCTACTATGTTGAACAAGTGTAACCCAACATATGATTAAGGCCTAGGGCTCTGGAGATCAACAGTCTAATTTAAATCTTTCACTCTTAGGATGCAAGCTTGGGCAAATTACTCGACCTCTGCATCTGTTTCTATTCAGAATTAAGAGGTCAAGATAAGAACCTAATTCAAAGTGTTATTTCAAATGGATTCTAACTTTTAACTGATCAGAGAACATGTGAATGCACATTGAAATTAGGAATTTTTTTTTTTTTTTAATGAAGCAAGTGTAACAGCAGACTATGAACTTTTGAAAGCTAACCAAATATCTTTGATTTGTATTCTTGTTGAAATTACAAATTGCCAGGGTTTTTCTTAATTGTTCAGTTATGGATCATAAAATAATCCCCTAAGATGGTCAGTAACATCTACTCAGTGACTTGGGATAATAAAGTTACCACTTCAAGCTTTGTGTATTCACCTGAATAGTCAGGGAACTTTCACCTATTTTATTTAGGTTTTCATTTTTTTTCAAATTCCAACCAGAAGCTAAATACAATTGGAAATGGTAAGCACTAGTTTTACTCCAAAGGAGTAGGATCATTCAGATTTACTCCAATAAAAGTATGCAACCCTTAAGCAAAGCTTTTCTTCATTTAAAAGAAAAAAAAAAACAAAGAAAAAAAAAAACCAAAAAACTATACAGTAGTCTTTCCTCATGTTCATTGCACAAAATGAGTTCTACTAGAACTTTGACACTGGTCATTTTTACAATTTTAAATCCCAACTTTAAAAAATGTTTTCCTATTCCAAAAATCCCGCATAACTTTTTTCTTTAGGATGGTGTAGAAACCAGTATTTCTGCACAATTTATTGGAATTTTCTTTGTAATTAAAATCTCTTCTCTTTAAC